CAGAGGAGGGACAGAGGTTTGGACATGTCCAGAGGAAGGACAGTGGTCTGGACATGTCTAGAGGAGGGACAGTGGTTTGGACATGTCCAGAGGAGGGACAGTGGTTTGGACATGTCCAGAGGAGGGACAGTGATTTGGACATGTCCAGAGGAGGGACAGCGGTTTGGACATGTCCAGAGGAGAGACAGAGGTTTGGACATGTCCAGAGGAGGGACAGTGGGTATATTGGTAGAAGGATGTTAGAAATGCAGCTGCAGGAAAAAGACAAAGAGGAGACATATGGATGCAGTTAGAGGACACAGAGGACAGAGTGAAGACAGAGGACACAGAGGACACAGAGGACAGAGTGAGATGGAGGAGGAGGACTCGCTGTGGAGACCCCTGAAGAGGGAAAAGCTGAAAGGAGACGTAGAAGAATAAAGTTAGAAATATAACAAAATCACTAAAACAAGTAGCTGAAAAGACAGAAAGAATCTGGAAAGAGCATAAAAAGCTGAAATTGGACGAAAGAAGCTGAACAATGGCTGAAATGAGCAGGAACAGGTTGTAAACAGCTCCGTTCATTTTCAATGAGGAAAACATGGCCGACAAAGCTAAATACTGTATTTCAAAAAGTAAAAGTTGCACAAACGCCAGAAGTCTCAGCAGGAATGTCCTGAATGAGCCGAACGTTTTGAGACATGGATTGTTGAAAAGCAGCTAAAACTGAGGAACGAGTTACGAGCTGAAGAACGAATCTGAGCGACGAGAATGATTGAAAGGATTTCACAGTTACTCACGTTCTGGCAGTTTAGTGAAACCACCTCTCTGTTTTTGTTGAATTTAATTTGTAAAAGAGTAAAAAACACTCACGAAGTGATGAGGAAGATGCCAGTGACTGAACCAGCAACCTGTTTATTGAAACAAGAGCAGAAATTTATTCAGACTGAAAACACACGAAAAGGTTCGTCTCAAGAGACTTTACCTCGATGACGAAGACGATCATGATGAATATTAGGACGTAGATCAGGCTCCTGTTGGTGGACACGTAGCGCAGGTAAGTACTCCACGAGGTCGTCTGGAAGATGTTCTCCCGCTCATCTGCAAAACATTCCTGACACAACAGGAATGTTTTTATTATCATTATTTTCAGCAAAAATGGACGTAACCCCCAAATCTGGAATGTAAAGATTTATCACTTGGCTCCAACGGGCTTTTAGTTAAAAGTATTGACCTTTTTTCCTTTTTTATTAATAAATTCAATTAATTAATTGATTAAAGTCATTGCCTTTTGGCAATTCTTTTTCATGTTTTTAAACTATCCTATTTTCCTGTCCACTCCTCAAAGAAGACGCGCTCTGAGCATCCTGCGCTCGGCCGGACTACAGAGACAAGTGTTGGGTCTATCATGGACTGGGATCCAGGGGGAACCCTCAGGGCCTTCAGCGCCTTCAAAGAAGGCCTAAGGCACATATAAAATGTTAAATGAATTGTTTTTATTTAATGTTTATTTCATTTAAAATAAATTATCAATGTAGATTTTCTTATCTTTGCTAATTTCTCTTATTTTATTCTTTAATTTAATTCACAATTGAGAAAAGTTTTAATTCATGAAATGCAGATATCCAATCAAACTTTTTAAATTTGTCTCCAGGCAGAATCATGTGTGAAGGTTCCTTCTCATTGGTTAAGACTTCAGTGTCAGGAGAGAAGGCGGAGCTCTCTGCAGGAGGAGTTTAACCAATCACAGAGTAGGTGGGACCAAAACACAAAACTGTGAGCCTTCAGGAAGGCCTTGCAAGGCTTTGTTTAAAACCACGTGAAGATTTGTGAGGCATTCAGTTGCAACATGTAAATTCAATAATCCACATTGAAAGTGTAGTTTCTCCAACAACAACAAAAAAAGACTGTTAAAGATCACATTTAGGATTACGTTGATAATTTTCAACATTAAAGTTGTTTTGTTGGTTCCCAACCCTGGTCCTTGAGGAACACCGTCCTGCATGTTTTACTTGTTTCCCTGCTTTGACGCACCTGATTTGAATGAATGGTGATTAACCGGCTTCTGCAGAACTTAAGGAAGTAATTAAATCACTGAATCAGGTGTGTTGGAGCAGAGAAACAACTGAAACACGCAGGATGGTGTTCCTCAGGGGCCAGGGTTGGGAACCATTGCATTATATGATGAAATGTTACAGAAACAGTAAGTTCTGTGTGTTCCTGTTGAATTTCAGTGTGAATTATTGATTATTTGTTGAGACTGGGTGTGCTGCAGGGCCTTCTGGGTAATGTTGGGAGAGAAATGGGTGGAGTTTTTCAGGTTCTGTGTTCAGATGGGTTGTCCTGCTGGTTCTGTTCAGTGTTGGGCTGGTGTTCATGTTCAGGTTGTTGTTGGTAACTGTAAAGAAATGACTCCATCAGTCAGATGTTGGACCTGATGGATTAAAAGAGGAGAAGCGCTTCCTGTCAGCGGATCTCTGAATTGTGAAACTGAAAGTAAAGTGATGTGAGTGATCTGTGACTCCACAATGACTTCATGTTCCAGATTGTTTACAATATTACTTCCTGACTGAAGGCCTAGTTTTCATAATCACAGATTGCCACTGCTGAGATCTTCTGACACTTAAATCGATCAATAGTGAACGCACGCACCACTTATCAGCTTTACAGTTTGTGGTTAAAAACAAGCCCTTTTCTCTGACCACACCATCTCCTTGAAAAACTGAAGAAATGTGCATTAGAGGATTAGCACTACAGTGGGTATCCAGTTATTTGAATAATAGGAGACAGTTTGTACAGGTAAATTATGTAATATCAGAATTTTGTGTTAATGGATGTGGAGTCCCTCAAGGCTCTGTGTTGGGACCAAATGTTTAATTTTCTTTTTTCTGCACCCTTTTCATTCAATGTTCTTGTTTTTTCTTTTTGATTAATTTGTTTTGTTTCTTTTAAATGAATTAATAAATAAATTACATTTTTCTAAATAAATACATTAATTTCAACCAGTGTTGATCTTCACAAGATCTTTAAATTTAGAGTAGATGGTCCTTACTAAATTTATCCACAAATGTGTATTTCCAATTAAAGACAAGTGAAAAGATGTAGATGAAAGAAAGAAAGAGAGAAGTACCTCCATGTCTTCTTCATCTACTTCCTCAGTAATGTCAAACACGCTGTCCTTGGACAGGCGGCGGGCATAGATGTCCAGCTCGGAGGCCAGGTTACACTGAGGTGTGATGGACAGCTTCTTCCTGAAGGTCGACTGCATCTGCTCCCGGCGCTCGTGGCCCTGAGAGTTGGTGATGAACTGCAGGACGGACTGGCGCCTCTGCCCGTTCAGATGCTGTAACCCATGGTGGTATAGGTTATTTCTTGGAAGCATCTCCTCCACTTGGTCGTCTTCAGGAACTACAGAGAACCTCCTCTCTGGAAGTTCGTGAACCCCATCTTCTATGGTCGTGGACTGAAAATTGCTCGCCTGTTCAGAGTTTCTGATTAGTGAGAATTTGCGGGCAGCTGCTAGAGGGTTCAGGATTAGCGACTGTTTGCGTTTTTCAGGGTAGCCATCACCCACTACATGGTTCTGAGGAGGTGCATGACGGAACGACTGGCGAATGGGTTCTGCACCACGAAACCCAGTGGTTTCGTCCACTGAAACCCTGCGAAGAGTCTCTGTGAGTATAGAGCTGCGTCGCTCTGCTGCAATGTTGTCATAGGCCTCAATTCCAAGCAGCAGGGAGCTGAAGTCCGGGCGCTTGGCCTGCAGTTCGGAGAATGTGCCGTAGAAGTAACAGTCTCCGTTGTGCAGCAGAAGGATTCTGTCAGCTCGTTTGAGATGATCCAACTTGCTGGTGACCACAACACGAGTCTTGGAGGCCATGAGTTTACAGACACATCTGTGGAGTGAACATTACACAGTTCTTTGGTTAAACCCTCCTCCAGGGGCAGTGCTGTTGTGTAAAATGAAGAGAACACAAGGAGACGTAGTACCTGGGGACAACTTGGTGACTCAAAATTGTGAAAATTTGTTCAATTTTTTGTTGCAGTGTGACGTGTCCCTGTCTTTTTGTGTGAATGAGTGCCTAATTAATTCATTTGCTCTCTAGACAGCTGATTGGCTGAAAGGGGCTTAAAACGATCAAGCTCCGCCTGTTGGATGAACGAGGGAGGCCAGAGGAGAGACACTGGTCTGATGGTTGCTGGCTTTTCACTCCTGCTCCTGTTGGAGACACCAGTGGTTGCACCTGTCACTGATTTTGTTGAGCCGAGTGTTGTTGGCACTGGGCGTTACCAGCCATCGTTGTGTTTTTGGTTTTGGGTTGTTAGGGTTTCGGATCATAGGGTGAGGGGAGCGGCCCGAATCCTTCGGTCAACTGCTGGCTGGTTCAGGGCCTCTCCCTCTCTTTTTAAATTTTAGCCGGGGCTCCCAGTTGGAAGTTTTGATCAGGTGATTGGTGATTAATCATCTGGGCTTCATATGTTGTGCATCCTGTCATTTACTCCTGAACATCAGCACCATAACATACAGTTTCATTGAATTCAGTGTTTGTGACCAGTGAGCCACGTGGCTGCACATTGAATAGGCAGTTTTTGAAAATCACCTGTTTTCATGTGCACGGCTTACAAACTGCATTCTTGGCCGTCCCATCACCGACCCGTAACGAATTAGTAAACTATACAATGTCACAAGATGTTCTGTCATTCTGGAGATGCCCTCATGAATACCAGTGACCAACTAGTCCAGAGTTGTCCAGTCCTGGTACTCGAGGGCCACTACCCTGCGTGTTTTAAGGTTTCTCTGCTCCAACACGCCTGCTTTGAATCAGTGATTAACACGCTTCTACTGAACTTGATGAGGTAATTCACCCACTGAATCAGGGAAACACATAAAACATGCAGGATTGTGGCTTTCGAGGATTAGGATGGAACAGTCTTGAACTGGTCACAGCCCAGAGAGACTCTAAAGGTGACTGTGTGCTAGCAGAGGTGTTGGGTCTCTGTACGACGAGCTCGCTACGCTCTTCACGACCTCAAACCCCCCTTCTGTGTGAGGGGGCTCATGAGACTCTTGGTGCGCAGCAAAGATGTTTTTCTTTGCCATTTCCCACATCCCTAATGAGTTGGGGATGACTCTCAGCTATTACAGCTTCAGACCTCAGCTCAATATTAAATGTAGTTATTTAACCTTTAGTTATTTAACCTTTAGTTATTTAAACTTTAGTTATTTAACCAGGCAAATCCCACTGAGATCACTGATTTATTTTGCAAGGGAGGCCTGAAATCAGTCTATCATGCATGTTTTTGGTCTGTGGAAGGAAACCAGAGTACCCGGAGAAAACCCACTGAGAGAACATGCAAACTCCACCCAGAAAGACCCCCAGGTCAGGATTTGAACCAGGGACCTGCTCACTAAGCGGCGGCAGCTCTACCAACTGAGCCACCGTGCTTCAATTTGACTAAGTTATTGCCATTTTGTGTTGGCTAAATTCATACAGCTGTGGCGGCCATCTTGTCCTATTGGACCTTACATCTGCTTTTGACACCATCGACCATAAGATCCTCATTTCTAGACTGGAGCAGTGGGTGGGCATCACAGGGTCAGCCCTTAAATGGTTTGGGTCCTACCTCTCTGACAGAACCTTCTGTGTCAATATCAAAGATTTTAGTTCGGCATTGACAGCGCTCCAGTGGGGGGTACCGCAGGAGTCCATCCTCGGACCCCTTCTCGGTCCCCTTCTCTTTTCTTTATACCTGCTGCCACTAGGTGCTATTTTCCGCAAACACAACATACCCTTTCATTTCTACGCCGATGATTGCCAAATTTACTTCCCCCTGTGGCACAGAGGCACACGCTCAACCCGTCGTAAGCTCAGAGGTGACAGGGCTTTCTCTGTTGCAGGTCCACGACTGTGGAATGAGTTGCCACTGAGTGTCCGGCAGGCTCCCACACTCTCAGTCTTTAAGTCTCGCTTGAAGACCCACTTCTATTCTCTTGCCTTTAACACGGTGTGATTTGTTTTGGTCCGGTCTGTACTCGACACTGTTGGCCATTTTAGTTAGCTCCTGCTGCTATTTGTATCTGTATTTCTATTTTATGTTTTCCTGTCCGCTGTGCATGTTTGTTTTCTTTTGTACAGCACTTTGGTTGGCCTTGTTGCTGTTTTAAGTGCTCTATAAATAAATTGGTATGGTATGGTATGGTATCATTGAATCAGATTGACTCAAAAAGTTAATCTGTTGTAGATCCACAACCAGTACTTGATCTCCCTCTTCTTTTAATCCCTCCAGTGGTTCTGGAAATGTTTTGCTAACAGACAAAAACACACTCAAAAACCTTATAGTTTATGACAATATGTCACTCTAGGATCCTGCAAAGACGCTCAATATAAAGACCAAATTTTGACATTTTAGTGGAGTCGCTCTACGACGGCCACAAGACAGCTTTGACATTTGACTGTAATTTGGTGTTATTGCAAGAATATCCCAGAAAAATTCATTTCCATGTCCTTGAAAGGTTGACGGTGATAAAGTACCTTACTCCATCAAAGCCCACCAAGCATGTCTGAAACAACAAGTGATAGTCCTGACCTTGAACTATGAAGCTCCCCAACCCCCACACCCACCACATGAAAGACTCTCTGTTGGATACATACTTTTCAAAGACTTCTTTCTCCGTAGCAATGTCCAGGTGAGTGAACGGTGCATCGAGCAGGTAGAGATCTGCATCTTTATACACAGCCCTGACAGGGAGCACACACGGAGTGAAAGAATGAACAGAACGGTGAAAAATGTTACAAAACGGCAATAAAGTGAAACAAAATGGACACATGAGAGACTGGAAAAGGAGAGGCTCTGGGTTTACAGGGTGTTAAAAGGAAGTCCGATGTCTGTGGGAATACAGGAGATCAGTTCTCAGAAACATTTACAGAAACACCGGAGAGGCAGATAACCATTCAGTGACCACAAATCAATCCGTGCACTCCTAACCAATAAATCATGCATGGGAAAACTCCCAGAGATTTATACAAACAATGAAGCTTCCGTCACTAAAACGTTAAAAACACAACGGATATGAAGGAAAAACAGAAAACAACTTTTAGGAAATTATTACTTTGGAAAGTGGAGACTTTGCTCTAATGACAGATAATCAAACTTTAGGAGAACAGCAGCGTCACGGGATATAAAGAGCTGATTGTGGTGTGTTGCTGCAGAATACCTGGCAAGGCAAATCCTCGCTCGTTGACCCCCACTGAGGGTCACGCCTCCTTCAAGGAGAGCCGTCTTGTCTTTCTCAGGCAGTAAGGCGAGGTCCTTCGGGAGGAATTACCCAGACCAGAGGGTTAAATTTAGGTTTGCATCATCGCTGACAGCAACTGTGTGATAAACTCAACAAATGGCAAAACGTGATGAAACCGACATCCCTCATATTTTTATCTTTTAAAGTTTGAAAACAAGAATATTGCATACGGCACACTATACGCCAGTCGACAAACTATTATTCAGCAAAGACCTTGTTTTAACTTTGACCTTGATTTGTGACCTTGACATTGAAGATGGAGTGCAGAAACACTCCGTCTCATGATCGTGCGTATGAGGTTTTGTTAAATTATCTTGGGTGGATCAGATATTATGGGCGGGGCAAGACAAAGTTTGCAGATGGACGACGACACCAACGCTACCGACAAATACCAACATGTTGCAAAAACGGCACCAGGAGACAAGTCGTGCACAGAAAGTACGCTCTTCATACAAACAAGTACAAAGTTTCATGTTATCTAAGCTATTTTTCAAGTTTGTACTAAATTTGAAAGGACTGTACGGTATTTATTTTAAGTTGTATAAATTTATAATCTTAAAATTACACGAGCAGTATGCTGATGTGGGCGGCACGGTGGCGCAGTTGGTAGAGCTGCCGCCTCTCTGCGAGAAGGTGCCTGTGATGGACTGGAGACCTGTCCAGGTGTCCCTGTGATGGACTGGAGACCTGTCCAGGTGTCCCTGTGATGGACTGGAGACCTGTCCAGGTGTCCCTGTGATGGACTGGAGACCTGTCCAGGTGTCCCTGTGATGGACTGGAGACCTGTCCAGGTGTCCCTGCGATGGACTGGGCAATGGACAGACAAGCATAGGACAGATGGTATTTCCAAGTCCCTCTTTGCTCCATGACGGGGGACAACTGAGACCATGACAGGATCTTACGGAGGAACGAAGGAGGACTTTTCATTCACTGAGACTGAACTATTTAAAAACTACTTGTCTAAACTTTCAAAATCTTTCTAAATAATTTGTAAAAAGGACATCAGATTTTTAGATGCTCTTCTTTCCCTCCTTTTTAAGATCACAACTGTTTTGAACAGTTTTCAGTCAGACGCAGGTGACGGACGTGAACTTTAACCTGGTTTTGACAGTAAGGCATGTTCATGTCAACATGGAGGTATCGTCAATGTTCGTTCCACAAAAGGACAGATGAAATAAACACAAGAAAGACGTCACAGCTGGAGTCAAGCAAAACTGAAATATTGACATTAATACCAGACACCCACACCAACAAGGATACGTGGTTTTAAGAGGTTTATCCCAAAATTAAACAACTTCTTACCTTTTTAATTGTGGAGTCTGTCGTCCCGATGGAGCGCATAAAGGGTCAAGTTAACAGGTTTAAAAGAAAATATGGCAGTAATAAAAGAAAGCCCCTGTGTGTGTGTGCGTGTCATTAAAAATGTGTTTCCAGAGGAAGACGACCCCCAGTGACCTGAACGATCAGTTTCTGTCGGCGGTACCGTCAAAATATCCAGTTTTGACCCTTCAGTTTGTTTGTCCTCGCAGACAAAACCTAAAATAGTATTTATTCTAGTATAAAAAAGGCTAAGACTCCGGATGAGCCAGTGTTGTGACTAGAATCCATTTAAAGCCTCTTTAAACATTTTGTTGGTAGCTTCCTGTTACAATTTGTTCTCCAGATGAACAATAAATCTAAATAGATTAGTATTGTCATTTCTGCAAATCAAATGATTCAAACAATTAGCAGACACACACTGCATGTCAAAAGTACAGTGAGCAGATGGACCCCCATCCTGTTTGACATAATTAAGATGTGAGAAACTGTGACATTTGGAACTGATTGGTCGATTAGAATGCACCACATGGACAGGACATTGATGGGCATCATGGATCATATCAGATTCTGTGGGGACTGTCCTGCACAAAGACCGTCTGCTGATAGACACAAGCCCTGGGTGACAAAAGACATCAAAGCCATACTGAACAAGAATCAGAAGTTCTTCAGGGCTTGGAACAGAGGAACTGAGAACCTTTCAGAGTGAACTGAAAATCAAGACCAAGAACAACTCCAGGAGGACGCTGGAGTCGAAACTCCAGTTAAACAACATGAGGGAGGTCTGGAGTGGTATGAAGACCATCCCTGGTTTCAGACCAGCTGGTGCAGGAGGAACTGAAGGCATGTGGGATAAATTAAATCTATTCCACAGATTTGATAAAACAGGCCCTGCCCACCCAGCTGTCTCCAAACATCACTGCTTCCCCTCCATCACCCTCCAAACTGTAAGTCGTCTCTGTGAGAGTCTTCCTCCCTCTTCCTCCCCCTCTTCATTATTATACAATGACATGGCTCACAAGCCAAAGGTCCTCATCCTCATGACTGCATACACCCCACCCCCATTGTGCACTTTCCACAGTGTTCTTCACATGTTACCATCTTGAAAGGCAGCTGAGGAAACTCAACTCAGGCAAAGCAGCAGGCCCTGGCAGTGTAAGCCCCAGGGTTCTCAAAGCCTGTGCCCCCCAGCTCTGTGGAGATCTACATCGGGTCTTTACCATGAGCTCGAGTCTTCAGAGGGTCCCTGTGCTGTAGAAGACGTCTTGTTCCTGTGCCGAAGATGCTCCATCCTAGTGGCATCAAGAACTACAGACCGATGGAACTGAAGTCCCACATCATGAAGACCCTGGAGAAACATCCCTGGAGCAACTCGGGCACATGGTCAGGTCTCCCTTGGACCCCATCAGTTTGCCCAGCAGCCCTGGCTGGGAGTTGAGGACACATCATCTATGTACTGAATCAAGTCTATGCTCAACTGGACAAGCCGGTAAGCACCTGAGGGTCATGTCTTTTTAACTTCAGTGCTTTCAACACCATCAATTCAAGTTCGAGAATCTTTATTATCCCAAAAGGACAAATTGTTTCACAGTCGGCTCTACTGGGTGAGAAACTCACAGCGATGCAGGTAGATGCTCCCCTTGTGTCCTGGATTGTGAACTGGAAGACCCCAGTTTGTGCGCTTGAAGAACTGAATGTCAGACAGGGTGGACAGTAATACTGAGCCCCCACAGGGGACAGTCCTCTCCTCTTCACCCTCTGCACCACAGACTTCAGCTACCTGACAGAGTCCTGTCCTCTCCACAAGTTTTCTGATGACTACAATAGTTGGATGTGTCAGCAGTGGCGATGATGCTGAGGCTGTAGTTGGTAACTTTGTCAGATGGTGTGAGCAGAACCACCTGCAGCTCAACCTGACAATGACAAAAGAACTGGATGTTGATCTGAGGAGGTTCAGGACACTGATGACCTGTTTCCATCCTAGGGGTCACTGTGGACATTGTGGAGGATTATGGGGCGGCTGTGGCTGAGTGGTTAGAGCAGTCGTCCTCCAATACGAGAACTGGGGGTTTGATTCCACCAGCAGTCACATCCTGAAGTGTCCCTGTGCAAAACACTGAAGTCCTCGTTGCCTCTGTGTGTCCCATCAGTGTATGAAGGTGATAAAACTGATTATTCTCTGTATACAGGTGGATCTAGTATCGAGTGCTGTGTGGAGGTAAATGATGCACAGATTGTTGTAAAGAAGGGATGGATGGATGGAGGGATGGATGGATGGATGGATGGAGGGATGGAGGGATGGA